CGTTGTGCTACATCTCAAATTCTTGAGATCTCAAATGTAACTTTCCTCATTTTACACTGCTCTTAGCCCTGGGAAAGTTATATGCCTCTGCTTCTTTCTTCCTATTTGTCTGTGGATTGAAGACCCTATAAAAATTCTAGTCTGTGGATGACTCTGAGCCCGGGAGTTCATTTTGAAAGAGTGCAAATCACATGAATTCTTTTACATTAGTTGTGCTTTATTTTCTTTCACACCTTGAAGGTATTTCATTCATTGTTCACAGTGAGGAATTAGTAGACAGGAAGGAAAGGATGCCAGAGGCATGGAGCCACATGATTGTGAGTTTCCATTTAGTTAGAATCTGCATTAGAGCTGTTCCAGATAATTGGGTGAGATCTGGACAAGAGAATAATGTTCTGTCTTCTGGTCGGGAATGATGTGGAAGGGACATTGGGTAGAAAGCTTGAGAGACTAGGGGAAGGGATCCTTGCCTCAGGACTTATTACTAGCAGTCTAAAGGTCTGTGACCTTGATCAAATTAACCTGTCTCTGAACCTACTTAACACATTTAAAAATAATGTGACACCAGGGGGCACCTGGATGAGGCTCAAGTTAGTTAAGCGTCCAACTCTTGGTTTCAGCAGGTCATGATCTCTCCAAGGTTCATGGTTTGAGCACCATCAGGCTCTGCTGGCATCTTGGAACCTGCTTGGGATTCTCTGTCTTCTAAGCTCTCTGCCCCTTCCCACTTGCACTTTTACTGCGTGTTTCTCTCTCTCCTCTCTCTCTCTCAAAATAAGTAAACTTAAAAAAAAGTGACAACTTACCTACTCTCCAGGCTGATGATAAGAGGTAAATGAAGTAATATTTGTAAGTCAGTTAACAAAAGTAGGCACTCAGTAAAAGGCACATTCCCATCAGTGGGCCCCTCACCATCTTCCCCCAATAGAGGAATGTTGCCCCAACTTTTTGTAACTTGAAAACTAAAGACTGGTTGAGGTTATGTGCAGTGATGTCTGAGAAAAAACATTA